AGAGAGAGAGAGAGAGAGAGAGAGAGAGATTGGTCAGTCAGATTTCTATGGAAGTTTGGTAATTGTGACTTTTTTTCTCACAATTCAGATTATTTCTTTTTCTATTCACAATTATGAGTTGCAGAATTGCAAATAAAAAAAGAAAGAAAATTTGAATTGTGTGATAAAAAGTTGCTATTACTTGCCCCGAACAGTCCAGTTTGTGAGATATAAAATCACAATTGCTAGAAAAAAACTGTACAATTCGCAATTCTGAAGTAAAAAGTCAGAATTATGAGGTAAAAAGTCACAATTAACATAATGGAAACAAGCTTCCAAATATTTGTAAAAAAAAAATTTCAGATGAAATTAGTAATTAAATTAATTATTTATTATAATTAGTATAATTTCATATGTATGCTTATTTTTTTAAAAATACATATTTTATAAATAATAATTTAAGTATATATATGTATGTACAAAGGGCGTAGAATTTAGTAGAAACGCTATGACAGGTGCCTACCTGATAAAAAGTTGCTATTACTTGCCCCGAACAGTCCAGTTTGTGAGATATAAAATCACAATTGCTAGAAAAAAACTGTACAATTCGCAATTCTGAAGTAAAAAGTCAGAATTATGAGGTAAAAAGTCACAATTAACATAATGGAAACAAGCTTCCAAATATTTGTAAAAAAAAAATTTCAGATGAAATTAGTAATTAAATTAATTATTTATTATAATTAGTATAATTTCATATGTATGCTTATTTTTTTAAAAATACATATTTTATAAATAATAATTTAAGTATATATATGTATGTACAAAGGGCGTAGAATTTAGTAGAAACGCTATGACAGGTGCCTACCAATATCTAGCGACTAAATTGTCCCTAACAATAATTTTGATCAAATGAATGAATGAATGATGCATGTAACCACTGTTACACACACATATATATATACCGCATCTGAAATAGTTCATACCACTGATATTAGCTGAGAAGTGAACACAGTTCAGTTAAATGATAAAGTTTCCCCTCTTTAACTTTATGTTGTTCTGCTGTTTTGTGTTCGTCTGCTTCTCCCATTTGCTCTTTTGACTTTCAAACACAAACAGATCTACAATCTAACATGTATTTTGAAGGGCAGCTCATCATGTGTTTCACTAGTTAGCAGTAAACCAGTTACCTCACCTGAATATGTTTGTAGATTTGTGTAGGATGCTATTTTTGAAATGGCAATATGGATATTTTATTTGTAAACATCATACTTTTTTCGCTTATTTCAGTTAATGTCATAAAACTAAACATAAAGCTGAGCCAGTAGTAGTGCTGACAGTGTCGTGTAAACATGACTGTTGACGTGAAAAGCAGAGGAACAGACAGACCGATTCAATTGAGTGAGTCATTTATGCTGGAACTGCTCAGATTGATTCAAACTCGTGACTTCAATTATTCAGTTCAAGCGATTCACTAGCAAAAACCAGATCAAAAGAGCCATTCATTTTCGAATTTCTACATCACTTGAAATGATAAACACAAATTAAGTTATACTCTTGTGAGTAGTCAATCCAAAGAAAACATCTTTAAAGCAGAAAGAAAAGTCACAAAATGAGTTTGGATGAACATAAAAAAATCTGACATTGCCAAACAAGTGAATGAATCTTCCTCAGAAGAGACAAAAACAGCAACTCACTTTAAAAATGTCGGACTTATATTACAATTATTTCCATAAGCTGTGAACTCATTAATCTGTTGTTTGATTCGAACCGTACGGTTCTCCACACACGGTTCGGCACGCGCTAAAACCGCGGTTCAACCTAAATCTGACAACGCATCTGTAATATGGTTTGTAGCTTGAATAAAGGTCAGGTTTTGTGGCAGTTGTTTGTCCAAACATTAGTGCAAGTGTCCAGAAAAGCGCTGCCTGTATCACATCACATCACGTCTCTGAAGACTGTGTTTGTAATGCATGAGCTTACAGGAGGACTCCTGAAGACGAGGAGAGAAGATCCTCTCAGCGCCAGGAACCTGCAGCTGTGAAGGGGCTCGACGTCGCGGCCCTGCAGGTGTTCACACACCCAACCCATGTGGACAATCTGAGGGGAAAACATTCAACACAAGAAACCCATCTGTGCGTGCTCAGACTCTCCTCTGCCGCTATCCATTTCTCTAAAGTAAATATGACTGAATTACTCTCTGAATTATTCATCATAATGCAACAGAGAGCCAGAGGTCATGACACGATGTGTTATCTCTCTCATACTGTAATGGTAAAATATGATGAGGCAGTACAATAGGGATAATTACTTTTTGTCGTATGATTTAGATGAATATGTCACTGTACAAATAACCCACCTGATCATCAGGAGAACAGTATTTATTCGCCGTTTTTATCTGAAAGGAACAAAAACATTTACAAATCAATAACAAGTATACAAGTAAACATTTACAAACAAATAACAGTATCAATATTTATTTATTTTAAACTTAATTGTATACTTTTGTACACTTCACAGATGTACTTTATAATTAAAAAAACTATTATTATAATAATAATAATATGATTGTTATTAACATAATTATTATGTATTTATTATTTTAGCATCAAACTGTACACTTTACAATTAAAAAAACAACAATTATTATTATTATAATATGATTAATATTACAATTATTAATTAATTATTTTTTAAACGTGTTCACTTTTGTACACTTTAAAGATTTACTTCACAATTTAAAAAAACAACAACTATTCTTCTTCTTCTTATTATTAATAATAACAGAAATGTTTATTTATTTACTTACCATTAAGAATTAGAGGGAAGGCTTAAGGTTTTATGTCGTGAAAGCAATAAGACAAAATATTAAAAATGTGTTTTTTATTTACTCATTCATTTTATTTTGTTGTTAAATATTGCCAGGAAAATGCAAATTATTATTATAATATGATTATAATAAATACATTTTTTTATTTATTTATTACTTAAAATAGTACAGTTATTATAATATGATTCAAACTACTTATTTAATGCAAATTACATATTTACTTATTCATTTTATTTAGTTGTTAAATATTGTTAGGACAATACAAATAATTATATTATAACATGATTATTATAAACAGATTTATTTATTTTTTACTTAAACATTTAAATTAACTGTACACATATTATACTATGACTATTATGAATTTAACAACAACAACAATTATTATTATTATTAACAGATTTCTTTATTTATTTTGCATTACAGTATGCTATTAAGCATTAGAGGGAAGATTTACATTTGCTTCATTGTCATGAATGTAATAACACAAAGTATTAAAAATGCTTTATATACTTAGTACAAACTATTTAATTGCTTATTCGTTTCATTTAGTTGTTAAATATTGGCAGAACATGTACAGATATTTTTCATGTGATTCCACCTTATGAGGGATAGTTTCACTCTGAAAACTCTTACTAATAATGCACCTCTTTCTGTAAAACTGCAGCATGAAGGTCTATTGAGTTTCTCCAGATTTGTGCTCTTTGGACTCGATTCATAAGTCTTCTGCTCTTGCCAAGAATATTGCCTAACGATCTCATTTCCTGTGTGTTGTTTTAATTAGTGCATGCGCTGATGATCTGGTCTTTTTCTGAGGCTGTCACACAGCTGCCTGTTTAAGTGCAATTACCGCACTGACGTCACCTAATGATGGAGACGGACGCTGATTGCTAAATGTCCAATTAACAGCTGATATGAGCATTTATTCCGTCATCACCGGGTGCTGATAGCACGCGCGCACAGGTGAGATCTGAACAGCACATGTTGATATCTGTGTTTAAGCTAAACTCGTTTAAGCTTTGCCAGTTTAAACAGAGCCAGAGGACACGAGCTCACGCGCGCAGTGAGAAGATTTGTGCGTGCGCTCAACCCAAGCGCGCAAACCCACGCCTCAGAACTCGCGCAAATATTAATCTTTCTCTGAAGTATTGTGTTTATTTCACCTTTAAAAAGTGTCATGCATATGCATAAGAATTAGTCATAAGAACATGCAATTGATTATAAGATCATATTCACATTATAATTCTTTTATACTGCTTTATATATAAAACCGCTACCAGAAGGTTCTGATTGCTAAATGTCCAATTAACAGCTGAGTGTATGTGCGAGTGGAAGCGGATCTGTTATTGTGCTGACCTATAACCTATAAATAAGCTTCAAGAAACCTACCAGCGAAGCTCCCTGAGAAACTCCCTTTTTCTCCCTGAGAAAATGCAAAGGATGCTCACACCAAATGTTGATTTAATTTAGTTAATATAACTATAAATAGAGCGACTGACACATGCTCGAGCAGCGAGGATGATGGGATTGAGTGTCGTTTGACACGTTTATGTTCGTGCATTTCATGTTACAGGCCTGTATTGTAAAGCTCTACGTATAATGACTTATCATATATGTTTCAATGCACTGTATCTTTTCATGAATAATTAATGATTTCAATTCATAATAATGCATGCCTATTAATGGTTTCACCTTTAAAAAGTGTAATGCATATGCATAAGAATTAGTCATAAGAACATACAATTGATTATAAGATCATATTCACAATATAATTCTTTTATACTGCTTTATATATAAAACCGCTACCAGAAGGTTATATCAGTAATATGATGTGAATTCATATTATATATTTTTAATATATATATATATATATATATATATTAAATATTGCCAGGAAAATGCAAATTATTATTATAATATGATTATAATAAATACATTTATTTATTTATTTATTACTTAAAATAGTACAGTTATTATAATATGATTCAAACTACTTATTTAATGCAAATTACATATTTACTTATTCATTTTATTTAGTTGTTAAATATTGTTAGGACAATACAAATAATTATATTATAACATGATTATTATAAACAGATTTATTTATTTTTTACTTAAACATTTAAATTAACTGTACACATATTATACTATGACTATTATGAATTTAACAACAACAACAATTATTATTATTATTAACAGATTTCTTTATTTATTTTGCATTACAGTATGCTATTAAGCATTAGAGGGAAGATTTACATTTGCTTCATTGTCATGAATGTAATAACACAAAGTATTAAAAATGCTTTATATACTTAGTACAAACTATTTAATTGCTTATTCGTTTCATTTAGTTGTTAAATATTGGCAGAACATGTACAGATATTTTTCATGTGATTCCACCTTATGAGGGATAGTTTCACTCTGAAAACTCTTACTAATAATGCACCTCTTTCTGTAAAACTGCAGCATGAAGGTCTATTGAGTTTCTCCAGATTTGTGCTCTTTGGACTCGATTCATAAGTCTTCTGCTCTTGCCAAGAATATTGCCTAACGATCTCATTTCCTGTGTGTTGTTTTAATTAGTGCATGCGCTGATGATCTGGTCTTTTTCTGAGGCTGTCACACAGCTGCCTGTTTAAGTGCAATTACCGCACTGACGTCACCTAATGATGGAGACGGACGCTGATTGCTAAATGTCCAATTAACAGCTGAGTGTATGTGCGAGTGGAAGCGGATCTGTTATTGTGCTGACCTATAACCTATAAATAGAGCGACTGACACATGCTCGAGCAGCGAGGATGATGGGATTGAGTGTCGTTTGACACGTTTATGTTCGTGCATTTCATGTTACAGGCCTGTATTGTAAAGCTCTACGTATAATGACTTATCATATATGTTTCAATGCACTGTATCTTTTCATGAATAATTAATGAATGATTTCAATAATAATGCATGCCTATTAATGGTTTCACCTTTAAAAAGTGTAATGCATATGCATAAGAATTAGTCATAAGAACATACAATTGATTATAAGATCATATTCACAATATAATTCTTTTATACTGCTTTATATATAAAACCGCTACCAGAAGGTTATATCAGTAATATGATGTGAATTCATATTATATATTTTTAATATATATATATATATATATATATACAGTGGTGGCCAAAATTATTAGAACACTAGTATTGTCACCAGCTAAAAAATTGTTTTAAGTCAGTTATTTCTATCTTTTGCTGTAATATGTCAGTAGGAAATATCAGTTTACATTTCCAAACATTCATTTTGCCATTAA